CAGATTTTAAGTGTCTTCCATTTAAATAAAAATGTATTTTTTCTATTGAGCTATCTGATTTTCTATCAGAACAGAACAGAACAAAACAAAACAGAAGAAAACAAAACAGAAGAAAACATACCAGTACAGGATATTCCAGTGCCATTATAGCCTGCATTACACTGACACAGGAAACTACCTTGACTATTCAAACAAGTCGCCTCCTGGTGACAACCAGCTCTGCCAGGTATTCTGCATTCATCAATATCTTAATAAAAATGAGTAGATAATTAAATGAAATATAGATACACATTAGTTATATCTCAACTTATTGTTCTATTTTGTCTGTGAAGTAATACTCGGTTTTACATAAATCACATTACAGAATGCTTCCGTATGTCAAGTACATAATATGAGTCCTTACGAGTTCCCTGTCTCTGTATATATATATATATATATGTGTGTGTGTGTGTGCATGTATGTTCCGGGTATATATGTGTGGTCCATCATCAAATACCAATTAGACGATGCCCAGACCTGATTATCATATTTGCCTAATATTTAGTAAATTTTATAATTTCCTCGTGAATTAATCATGACATTTTAATAAAACTTGGAACATGTGCAGACAATTTTAGTTTGCAAAGGATATCTGTGCATACAAATTACCTAATTTGCATAATATTCAGCAAATTAATTTTCCATTGATAAGAACTCATCATTGCAATGTTACTTGACGGATAAGTGATTGGAGCAATGTGCAGACTTGCTTAGATTTCGGTTGAAATGTGTGCATATTAATAATCTAATTTGCATAAATTAATACATTTCTATCTTCACAGGTATATTAATAACCATGCACTCATACTTTAATGAGACTTGATTCATACTCCACTGAAGTGTTTAGTTTAGGGATAAAAACGGACCAGAGATTTAAAATCACGTGACGTCAGATACAGACATGCAACAAGAGCGATAATGAAGGCATCAATCAAACTAGAAATGACTAAAACGACCATAATATGATCATGTTATCTCATTAATATAAAAACACTTATTTCACAAACAGCTGCAGATATGGACATGCACTCAGTGCTATAATGAAGGCATCAGACAAGATATGTGACAGTTTTATCAGATAATAGTCATGTGACTTCATTATTATACATAATTCTAATATCTATAGAACTATTGTTTTTGTTATGATATGTACTGACAACCATATTGCAGAGTTTAGTCGGCAGGCTTCTGGGTCTGTTTCATGTACCTTCAATTTGATAATGCTGGCTAGCACGTATTTTGCATATCAGCGTTAGTGTAGAAGATAAGTAAAAGATTGTGTAATAGCCAATTTATAAAGTTTAGATTCAAATTTAGAAAGCTAAATTATAAATATCGAAATCTATTTCTAAATTTACATGTTCTAGATTACGAATTAGAAACCGAAATGGCTTCTTGGGTTTGAAGGTAATAATTTTCGGGTGCAATTGCCGCTATTTGGATGATCTAAAATATAAACTGTGTCGCTATTAAGTTAGCTATTTAGACGATCTAAATTATAATTATAACTACGGCGCTATTTAGAAATAATGTGTTGTGACTTATTATTTTTCGGGCGCAATTGCCGCTATTTAGTTTGCTATTTAGTTACATTACAGGGGTAAATTGTTACCCGACACCTTGCACAAACGTTAACTTATACGTTTTTACACAAATCTGCCACACATGTGGAAGAAAAATACACATTCATTGTTTCCAGGCAATAGTTCCGCCTTTAAGTCAGACAATAATAATTTGGTTCAAATAACAAATGTTTTATTTCTATTGTCGTATTGCCGCTTTGTTATCAATACTATTATATTCCAGGTAAAATGAAGTGCGAACAATAATAGAAATTTCCAAATTATGAATCATATAATATACTTTGACTTGCATTGCATTGTAACACGTGGCCTTAAACACGTGGAAGGTAATACACTAAATGGTTGTATTAGTTCGGCCTTTAAGTCGAACAACAATAATTATTTTGGGGAAAACATGAGCGACGGACTCTCTTAAATAAGTATGTGTAAGGGGTTGAAGTAGAAGTTAATCAGC